CATTACCATCATCATTCCTCATTGAGTTTCACCTGCGCTCACAAACAGCGAGCCATCCTGTTATCCATACCCACCGTCATCTAGTGGGTTCCCACCTTTCATCTTCCATCCATACATCACTATCCCTTAAAGGCAGCTTCATGCCATCTCCTCTAAGTGAGTCAAATCACCACCATACTCACTCCATGGCCTCCACAGATAGCCATCAACTCCACCACTGTCCAACTATATGGCCTTAAACCATAGTACACGTCCTGGTTGCATGACGTTAAAAGGCTTCGCACAGGTCTCGGAGGCATGACCCTAAAGGTGCCTTCATAAGAAAAAAAAAAAAAGAGAAAAAATAAAACTAAGAATAACGGGCATGGTGTATATCTGAACATGGGAACGCCATGAGTAAAAATGATGGACGTGCATGGCCATGAAGCCATGAGTAAGAGAGTTCCGTGAAAATAAAAACCTGGGCATGGTGAAAACCCGAAAGGGCATCGTAAGTAAAAATGGAAGAATAAGGGTGGACATGATCGAAAGGTCATGGGTAAAAGAGCCCCAAATAAAAGGAGGTTTGTGAAAACCGTCTCTATGGCTCCACTTCCCAAGTCTAAGTGAAAACCACAAAGGGTGCTTGGACTAATAAGAAGGTTGATACAGCACACCCCTCATCGGTGGCTTCAGCCAACATTCAAAAGAAAAATCCTTGGTGTCAGAATGCTGTGATATCAGGACCCAAAAATATGAGCTTGAAGAATTTTGATAGCTTGAGTCCATTTACAAAAGGACTCGAAGGATAGAAGACTCACCAAGAAGGCAAGACAACTCTCATGAAGAAGAGCACTATTCCCAAGAGGTCATTAACGCACTCCAAGATGCTGAAGGCTCCCTAAGAAGGCTAAGTCAGCCATGACTTTGGAGCTGTGATGCAGCAGTCAAGATTGAGCTCTCAGGGGTCGCTTCGGACAAAGAAGAGAGGTATCTTGATTGTCGAAACTGCTAGCAGAAAGCAGGGTTGAACCCAATGCTGGCCACCTCGAAAATGAGGTACCTCGCCTGTCAAGGAATATCTGGTGCGAAAAGAAAAAGGTCGCCAACAGAAGGCCCTTTAGCAGACCATCCAGAATAAACAACAAAACAAACAAACCCAGATTAAATGGGAAAAATGCCCTTAAGCATGGCACTTGACTGCTAGACGGGCCCTATTTTGATCAACGAGGTCCGTACAAAATCCTCAATTGTTAGAATCACAAATGGGTGAGAACTTTAATAGGATCCCTAAAAAAAGTCTCTTCTCCCCTGAAGTCTCCATGGATGGACCTGCACATTACATCCAAACGCCTGAGCATCCTAATTACAACATTTCATGGATATCTCCTCGACGTTTACGTGGTCTTGTGGCTAAGAAGAAAAAAGTAATAAAGCAGAGGAAATGTTTTGAATGTTATCCTTCTCACTTCTCTCAAAGAACAATAATCAATGGGGCAAGCTGTTTGAAGACATTTTTCAGCACCTTGGATCTCTGATGCGGAATAAAAGGGGAAGTCAGTTAATAAAGCCCTGACATACAGTGAAATTTTCGACAGTCTTAGAATTACCCCAGAATATCTTACTAAGCACTCCAAAAGGCTACCTGCCAGATTTTGTAGCAATCCGACGTATATAAGGCAGTGTAGACAAAGAAACAATTTCGGAAATATCGGCCTCTAGCACCCTAAAATGGATCCCATAACTAGAATTTTATTTTTGGTATGTCAAGTAGCTGTGGGACCACCACCATTGGATTCGGCATGGTAAAAAACCCATAGGGGTCAAGTTTCGGCTTAAACATACGTGTTAAGACAAAGTTATGGGTGAAACATTAAAAAGGGATGGGTCGCACACTATTCCCGTGCAGCCTCCCTGCATCAAGTCACCATTAATGGGGAATGATTTCATAGTCATGAGCAGCAACTATGTAGACCCATATCTCACTCATCCGAGTCGGATCGTCCTCAAATTTTGTGAGCATGTTCATCTTGTCAAGACAAGCGTTTCGATATGTGGTACGTCCCATGACGATACTTGAGCAAGGAGAAAAGATAGAGAGAACTTGGCGATTCGTGGAAAAAGTTGCAGAAAATTCAGCAGCACCACGACCCACTCGAGTGGGCATATCTCGACACTCACACATTGATTCGATGCGAGACCAGTTCCATCGTGTGCGTAAGGTATAGGGATATCTCTGGTCCAAACCTAGCACATGATGAACGGTTGGGATTTGGCACATGAAGGTGTCAAAATTACTGTAAATTTCATCTGTCGAAATTCAAGATCGGGCCAAAATCCAAAAGTTGTGAAATCTTCATCCGAGCACGAAATCGAGCTGTGTTTGTTGCAACACTATTGTGACGGCATGCTCTGTGCAATACAACGAAGAAATCAAAGAAAACAACAAGGAAGGAGCACACAATTGATCTAGAGTTTCCAAAACATCCAAATTTCGAGTCGTGTGATCGTGGCCTAAAAACGAGATCAATGGTTCGAAGTTGGTATCAAATTGATCGTCATGCCAAGCCCAACGAGAAAGTAATCATCGTTTTGATAAACGGGCGTCGGAGCAACCCCGAATCATCCATGGAAGATCACGCACGTTCTAGGGCAGCAGTAGGGACTATTTTGGAATTTCATATATGGTTGGGGAAGAGCAAAACCGTTATTTTTGCACCCTATATTTAGATTTTTCTTTAATTCAAATAAATTGTAATTATCATCAATTACGCTAGTTTTTTGGCATCCACCGATGTTTGAGCCCAATTTTTTAAATACATGCTAAACCTAATTGTAAAGGGTTCCACGCTGATCAATAAAATTTGAGAGTTTTCTTTGAGATTGTGGTGCGTCTTGGAGAGAGAGAGAGAGGAGAGAGAAGAAAAAGTCTGGCACCCTTTGGTGAATGTAACTCTCTCTCTCCTCCTCTCATCTCTCTCTCTCTTTCTCTCTCCTCTTCTCTCTATCTTTTTCTCTCTTCTCTCAACATGCGTGGCAGTGGGCAGTCAAGTGCGCGTCTTTCATCTTTTTCTTTTCTCTTTTCCTATGTTCTCTTTCTTTACTTATCCTCATTATTTCCTAATCCTTCTTCTCTCTTTCCTAATCTCTCACTTCCTTCTTTCTCCCTGTCCTCTTTCTTCTCCATTCATGCACGGTGGAGTCTATCGCTGGACGTGATGTCCTCCTCCTCTGGAACACACACAGTGGGCTAGGCCTTAACCCGAATGGCAGGTCAGGCCTCTGTTTGAGCTTCTCCTTCTTCCTATGTCATGGATGTCAGAGGCCTATTGCTGTCCATATCTTTCCTCTCTCCTCTGTCGTGGACAGCAGAAGCTCATCGCTATCCATGTTTTCTCTTTCCTCCTTCCTATGTCATGGACAACAAAAGTCATCGTCGCCCATGTTTTCTCTCTCCTCATCCTTTTGTCAAGGACGGTGGATGCTCGTCGCTGTCCATATTTTCTCTCCCCTCATCTCTTTGTCATGGACAGCGAAAGCCCATCTCCATCCCTGTTCTTATCCTCTCCCTCTTTTATCATGGACGACGGCAGTTTATCGTTGTCTGTGTTTTTTTTCTCTTCTTTATCTTCAATCATGGACGGTGGGAGCCCATTACCGTCCATGTTTCTTCCTCTTCTCTCTCTTGTCATGGACGACAGAAGCCCTTCGCTGCCCATGTTTCTTCCTTTTCTCTCTTTTGTCATGCACAGCAGAAGCCTATCACCGTCCTTGTTTCTTTCTCTTCTCTCTCTAGTCATGGACGACGGAAGCTCATCGCTGTTCATGTTTCTTCCTCTTCTCTCTCTCCAGTAATGAACGACGGAAGCTCATTGCCATCCATGTTTCCCTTCTTCCCTCTCTCTTTTCTTTCTCTTCTTTCTCTCTTTGTCCTTCTCTCTTCCCTTTTCCTTCTCTCTTCTTTCTCTCTCTTCTTTCTTTTTATCTCTTCTTCTCATCCTCTTTTTTCTCTGTCTATCTCTCTTCCCTCTCTCCCTTCTTTCTTCTTCATCGATTTCTCATCTTCTTCTCTCTTCTCCTTTCTTTCCTCTCTCTCCTTAATTTTTCTTCTCTTTTCTTCTCCTTCTCTCTTCTTCTATTTTCCCTTTTCCCTCTCTTTCTTTTCTCTCTTCTTTCTTCATCCTCTCTCGTTTGACTAAAGGAGATTGAGACTAACACTGTCATGGTAGTCATGTTATCTAGCAGTAATGCTGTTGTGCCAGTCTAAGTTATCGTGCCCGTCTTACTGCCATGACAAACTAGCCATCGTGCCAAGCCGGTTGGTAGTGGTTCCGTCGTTTAGTAGTAATGTCGTTGTATCGGTTTGAGTTACTGTGCCCATCTTGCTACCACACCGGGTCAATCACCTACTGATCTAACCACCATGTCAGTCTAGCCGCCTGATCAAATTCTTCTCTCCCCTTTCCTTTATTCTATCTCTTCCTTTTCTTCTTCTCACCCCAATCTTTATCCTCTTATTCTTCCCTTTTTCTCTTGGATGTGCTCTCTTGTGTACATTCGCCCAAAGACAAGGTGGGGTCCCTTGATCCACTTGTCTTGTAAAATTAACCATGTGCGTGTGACTGCAGAAACAGGAGAGTACAGGCCAAGGGGGACGATTTCGAACCCTTTGTAGTACTGGGGGGCTTTCTTCATGATCTAAGAGGGCAGCCACACGACCCAGCCTGAGTAAGTCCCAAATCCACATTAAATTCCTCTCTCATTGGTTGGTATAACTACCCTTGTTTCCTAACAAGGTTCCTGAGAGAGCGATCTCAAGTCTCGGGTTCCCCTGAAACCCTAGACATGTTCCACCAGGTTATCTCAACTTGGAGGCACCTAACCAAGTGTACCTTTGATCACCGAGGTGGACTCCTTGGCCTCCTGATCAGTGAGGGCGAACACTCGTCCTTGGGTCTTCGGGAGGTCCGCGGTTTTCGTCATAGGGCAGTCTCTAACCCAGTGACCAGGCTTGCCACATTTTAGGCACACATTCCTTTTCTGTAGCATTCAGTGGTAGTGTGGTTATCCTTCCCACAATGAGTACAAGCAAGGCAGCGATCACTATCCATATTGCCTAGGAGATTCTTCTGGGTCCTCTGGTTAAGCTGATATGGCTTCCCTGTAACATCTCTCCTTGGGAATTGCAGGGGCTTCTTCCCAAACCTTCTCGATGGCACTGCCTTCATCCTTCCTTCCTTCCTTGATCTGTGGTCCTCACAGTCTCTCTCAATCTTCAGAGCGAGGTCTACCAATGGGGCGTATGACTTTAGGTTGGCCGACATTACTCTACCCCTGATATCCAGCCATAGGCCCCTCTCAAATTTAGCTTCCTTTCGTGTCTCGGTGTTTATAATGTGGGGCATGTACCTAGAGAGCTCTACAAACTTGGCGGCATACTGTTCCACAGTCATGCCCCCTTCTTGGATTTCGATAAACGCTACTTTTTTCCTTTCCCTGACTGAATTTGGGAAGTACTTCTCGTCAAACGCCGCCATGAAATTTTCCTAGGTGGTCTCGATTCCTGACTCCCTCCAGGATTGCTTTACTACGTCCCACCAGTGTTTTGCTTCCCCTTCTAGCATGAAGGCCCCTAGTTTAACTTTCTGCTCATCCGAGCAGTGTAACACTTCTAGGATCTTTTCTATATGTCTCTTCCACTTCCCGGTCTTCTCTCCTCCTCAGGGTGAACTCAACGCCATTATTTGGTAATCAAAGCAAACCATGCAAAGATAAATACATCATAATTTTAAATACAGGAGCAAATTATTAATTTAAAGCTCCATACATTAACAAAAGGGCTTTACATAAATTTCTTCCAAAATATTACATTTGAGTCTAGGGCATCAGGGCCCAAAATTTATAGATTCATGCAATAAACAAAAACCAGGGCTAGACTTCCCAACCACATACAGGATCTAGATCCCGCCTCCAAAAAGTCTGGCTTCAACCTCCTTCAGGAATCCCAACCATTCCAACTCTTGACCTGTTGTTATCAGTTTACAAAGAGGGGAGGGAGAAATGGGATGAGCTATACAGCCCAGTAAGTAGGTCTAAGCACTATTCACTAATAAAGATCCTACTCATGAATCATAAACAATTTATTTAACTGTACGGAATTTTAGTGTAGCAAACATGAGAATCAACGATCAAGTCAGTACATCAATTATAAGCATTCTATCCATATAACAATTATCATTCAATGGATTCAATCATCGGCATTCACAATCACTATTCAATCATTACCCACTCTCCCTAGCTCACCTACTCCCATAGTAGAGGCCCTATTCATCGGGCTAAGCCAATCCCATTGCTGAGAACCTCTACCATATCTCAGGAGGGAGGGCAATGACAAGTGGGAAAATCTATTTTGTAATGCCCTCATACTCACACACACGGCCCCTAGCGTGCATTGGAGGTTCGATAGACACTTACCTTATAAGGCGTCTGTCGTTGGTATTTTCTCAGTAAATCTTAGGGGGATGCGACCCTCCCATTTCACTTTTCCCCTAATTTCATCCTATCATTCATCAAGTTAAGGGATATAGCTGGCATCACTTTCCTCAATATAGTAGTCCTCACTACCGATGGGTGCCCCATCGCGTAGCAAGCAGTACCAATATAACAGTATCCACTACCAATGGGTGCCCCATCACATAGTGGCCAGTATCAGTATCATAATAGAACAGTGCCCACTACCAATGGGTGTCCCATTGCATAGTGGTCGTTATCACGGTATCATATCATGCTCAATCATTTAACTCATTCATCATGCAAAGTCTGAGCCTTGTTTAGAAATATATAGCTATCATGTACGCTATGCCACTTAGCACGAAACATCCATTATAAGAGGGCTATCACAAGGCACGTACACTTATCAATTAGTATTCTTAACACTTTATCACATTAGCACTACAACATTTGTAAAGTAATGTTTATAGTAGAGCTATCATATGGAAATTGCATTTATCGATTATCACGTATCGTATGGTCCCATAGCATTGTTCACATAACACTATGGCACTCAACATGTAGCACTCATTATATGAAAACTATCACATGACTGAAATTCTAGGTGACGACTAACAATAACGTACCTCTCTTTACGGAGGTATAACTCCCAATCTAGGGAGAATTTCAAAATAGTTTAAACATGTAACTGTAAGCTTACACATAGATCTTAAAAATAGCAGTGGTTTGAAGATGTTCGGGCATCGTTTGATAGGCCAAAAGTGTGGCACAAAAGGAGTCATAGTTGCTGGAATTTGCCGTGACTGTGGGCAGTGACATGGCCCAACATTTTGAGGCGTATCTTTTGATCTTTACAGAATTTTAACATAGTATAAAAAGAAAACTTAAAATAGACACACATATCTTTCATTCAATACTGATTTGAACCCATTTGGGCATCGAAAAGCCCAAGGAAAAGACCCTCACATTGCTGAAAAATCCCTTTATTCATGCTATCCAATGATACATGCCATTTCACACACCAAAATAAAACCCAGCAAAAGCCTTATTCATATCAAGCAGTTTAAGTTTTACAAGGAAACTACTCTATAAATTTATCAAGTTCATCACTCGAAGCTCAATCACTCATCCAATCCACTTTTTATTCATCTATATTGATACACCTCATTCTATCATATTGCTTTTCATATCTACTTAAATTTAATCCCTATGCGGTTGAGTGATGCATGCCACTAGACCCACTTACTTGATCCCTCACGATGTCTTCAATCTCCTCTCACGGCCTTCTTTAGCTTCCTCCACCTTCACCTGTTGGCTGTCTTCAAGGGACGACAGTAGGTTTTTTTAGAGAGAGAGAGAAAAAGAGTTTAAGGTGGAAGAATGAGGGGGAAACGATGTTGCTTGAAGAGGGGAAGGCTTAAAAGGGAAGGGTTGGGAAAATACTATGGCTGAGGCAGTCACATGTGGCTCTGACACGTATAGAGCAGTGCTGACACATACGGCGACCGTATGTTTGACCAAGACACTCCCAGTGTTGCCCTCAATTCACGCACATTGTTGCTCTCTTCATTTCACAGATGACTCTGGGTCACAGCCGGTGCTGGTTCACAGACGGCGCTATGCTTACGGCGACGCCCCAATTTAACTCACGGTGATGCCTTTCGCAGGCGGCGTTGCCCTTCCTTTCTCGCTTCACAGCGGGCGCCGGGTCTTAAATTCACAGACGGCGATGGTGTGTTTACACAGTCGGCCCTGCGTCTTCTTACACAGTCGACGATAGTCCCCACGCATGTGGCATTATTGCCAGCACATGCGGCGATGCGCAGACAGCGTTGCCCTCTTACACATGTGGCGATTCATCTTCTTTCTCTCTCTTTTGCTTCTTTACCATAGGCGGCGCTAAGCTCTTATACACATGTGGCGATGCTCCAAACGACGCTAGGTCTCTGCCTCACCTTCCATCACCGTGCGTGTCACTGGGCTGGGAGAAAATTGTGGTCCTTACACCATAAAAGGTTGGCTTTTACACTATTGCAGTGAAGACTTAGTGAACCAATTTTCATTTATGGAAACTTTGTTTTCCCATATCGGGATAATTTTTTAATTGCTCATAACTTGCTCGTTTTGAGTCAAAAGAAGCTCAAATTTGGACACAAGCTAGGTCTCGACGATCCGGTCGTTTTGACATTTTTCACGCATCGTGACGTGGCTTGAAACGAGAGAATTTCTAGAGAGAAGATAAACTCAAAAGTTTAAAAATCAGATTTTATACAAGAAGACATCCCAAACTTTGTGTAGTCATCACTTGAGATCCGGATGTCAGATTGTTGCAAATATAGGTCAGTTGCGACCATATCCCGAAGGGCTACAATTTGATTTAGTTTTGCACACAATTGGAGGCTAGATAGTGTGAATTTTTAGATTGAAAAAGACAAGATTTTTCAGTCACCTGAATCCCATTTTTTGGCAACTTCCCAAATTTCAAATATGCTTAAACAAAAATCAAATTGGATGAAATTTAGTGCCAAATGATCGTGACAATGTCCTCTTCAATTTAAAATCAAAATGAGGATTCAGAATGTCATGAATCGCATCGGGTTGGTGGTCGAAGTTCATGGACGTGGTCGAATTTTTTGTTCTCAATGAAAAATCTGTTTAAAGATGGTCAAAGGGCATCAAAATGTTTGTGATAGATCAAACATCGATTCTACAATGATTGATCACCCTTGTTACCGCTGTAAGGGTTCGAAAAAGATCCTCGAAGTCTAGCAATGAAAGAGGCCCCTCATGGAGGGATGGTTTTATCACTTGCTCAAAACATCTAAGGGGTATTTTGGTCAGTTGGTCAAAAAGTAGGATTTTATTTTAATTCATTTAATATGTAATTTTTCACAAATTGTATTAGTTTTGAGCAATCCACCCATGCTTTGTGACTGCTCTATATAAGTAAGCTTAATTCATTTGTAATGAGGCTCAATCATTTTTATAAAAACTTGAGCATTGAAGAGTGAGTTGAATTCATTATTTTGCCTTGCTTCCAAGTGTTTGATCAAGTTGTGAGGAGAGAGAAATTTTAGGTAGAGAGAGAAAATACCCCTAAACCATACACCACACCCTAGACCTTAGATCATACACTGCACCATACACCTTACACCCTACACCATACACCATACACCCTAGCCTACATCCCTAGTCCATGCACCATACCCTAATCTTAAGTCGCACCTAGTCTTTATCTCTCTTGTGCAAGCAAGGAGGCCAAAGGAGGTGCACGTAGGCTAGGTCCCTCTTAAGCCTACTCTCTCTCCTCTCTCCCTTCTCTCTCTACCCTTCTCTTCTCTACATGGAAGCACGAAGCCGCAACAGCCTGCGGTCCCATCTCACCTCCTTCTCTTTTATCTTCTCTTCTCCCCCTCTCTTTGCACTCTATGCATGGAGCCACATTAGGCAGCGGCCCCTGCCCTACATGTCAACCTGCAGCCCCATCTCCCCTCATTTTCTTTTCTTTTCTCTTCTCCCCTCTCTTTGCTCCCTATGTCCAGGGCTGCATGATGCAGTGGCCCTGGCCCTACACACTCCCCCTCTTCTTATCTCTTCTCAACTACATCCAGGACCACAACAACTTATGGCCCCAAGCATTCTATCCACATCTCTCTCTTTGTCATTCCCTTCTTATTCTAGAGTCTAGGGCCGCATTTGTGTACGAATCCAGAGGACCCAGAGCAAACAACTCATATCCTTCTCCACTCACCTTCCTTCCCCCCCCCGCCCCACACACACAAAACGGGCAGCCGCGCCTAGAAGTAGCCTTACCCCTTCTATTTCCCAACCTCTTTTCTTTACCCCTTTAAACTCCCCACTCACACAGAGCCGCATACTGGAGTGAACTTCTTTCTTCGCACTCTTGTCTTCCTACCCCTTCTTCCTCTTACATTCTAATCTATGGCTCCATCATAGTACATGGTTGGGGCTGGTTTTCGTTTTGGTCCTTATGCGAATGGGATGTGTACGCCTGGGGGAGAAAACC